GGGAAGGTGGGGGAGATGGAGAGGGGAGAGGGGGAAGGTGGGGTAAGGAGGTGGGAAGCGGAGAGGGGGAAGGTGGGGGAAGGAGGTGGGGAGCGGAGAGAAGGAAAGGTGGGGGAGAGGGGGAAGGTGGGGATGGCATTGCACGTAGGTTAGGTTAAGTTTTTTCCATGCCTTTTTTGCTTGACTTTTTCCTGGATTCGTGGTTGGAGCCCGACCTTCACTTAGCGGCTACCTGATACTGCTACCATGAGAACGAATGGTATGGCAACGGGGTGTTTATTGTCATGTACTGAAGCAAATGGGTGAATGTCAACTCGCAAGTAAAGACACATTAGTCGTATAGTTCATTGTGAATTGTTGGGAGACGGTGGCAAAGTGGATGCAACACTCGCCTCCTATCCTAAGAGTCGCAAGTTCCCTTTCCATGCGCCCTTTCCTTGCACCCCCCCATACCCCCTTCCCCTATCCACTAGTTCACCCCCTCTATCCTCATTTACCCCCTACAGTGCTTATGTCCTGACTTACGTACAGTCTCTTGTATGTATGTATGTGTGTGTGTGTGTGTGTGTGTGTGTGTGTGTGTCAGCATGCTCGCCTCACAAGCGAGCGGACCCAAGTTCGATCCCCGGGCAAGGTGAAACTATGGGCAAGTTTCTTTACGCCATTTGCATCTGTCTACCCAGCAGTAATTGGGAACCCGGATGTTAATCGACTTGCGGATCGTATTCCGGGGTAATGGTTAGCCAGTGCAGTTGGCGAGATGTCCGGTCTTCTCGGACTATTCCTTGACACTGGGTCATGCAGCTCGTTAACTTAGGGTGTGGTTGTTGTGTTGGCGACAGCTTCTACACCTTAAACAAATTCACGCCTAGGTGGCACCTGGGCCGGCCATTCTCGTTACACGAGGGGCAACCATTATTTATTTATTATAATGCATTAGCAAACATTATATAACAACAGGCTGGTGAGGGCTTTGTGCAACGCTAAGAATGGTGCTCTCTCTCTCTCTCTCTCTCTCTCTCTCTCTCTCTCTCTCTCTCTCTCACATTCAGTTATTCCACATAAGGGATGGCGAGGAGCAACAGGGTGGCCCACTAAGGGGGGGCAAGATTGGCCGTGAGGGTGGGCCACTAGGGAGGGACGGGTGTGGGCCACTAGCGGAGGGGTGAGGGCAGGAGTGGGCCATAAGTGGGGGGGGGGGTGGGGTGAATGTGTGGGGTGACAGCCGCCTCCTCTGCCAAATCATGGTGACGCTGCAACAACCGAAGCCAGTCACGCTACCTCCTGCTCCTCCCCTTCCTTCTTGACGTCTCCCTCCCTCCTCCTCCCTTCTTTTCCCATTCTTTCTTAACTACAGCACTTCCACACTTTCCTCTCCATCCTTACCTCTCAACAACTTCTTCTTCCTGTTTCTTCCTGTCTTCTTAAATCCCTTCTTTTCGTCGGTATTTTCATCTTTTCCTCTTCCCTCACATCCCATCCCATGATCTTTCTCTCTCCACAAGACTCCCAAGGTGACGCAACCCCCATTTAAATGAAGTCTCGGACCAAACAAATCCTAAAAGGGGAACTTTCACAACTAGTTTAATAACGAACACTTTGTCAACGTCTAACATCAAACGACACAATGTAAACAAGGTTATTAGTTCATTTCCATCTTAAGAAGCAACCCCGTCAGCTCCCCACCTACAAGAAACTTAGTTCACATTCATCTTAATAAGCAACACTAAAACCTGACCTTGTGACGACCGCCTTATAATTCTATTTAAACCCGGGAAAAATAACGACAACACTGTTGACACGATGATATAAGCATTGTATATAATGTGTTGTTGGTGACTGAGTCTTAAATGCTGTTTTATATATCATACTTGGTGCTGGATGACCTAAACGACATCTAAACTTAATTATAAACACTAAAGTTTAAAAGAATTTCACGGTATTCATACTTTGTTGTATACATGACGCTTTGTTTCTCGTCTCGGTTGGTATGACGTCAGAATCACGTGACCTCTGGCCCAAAGCCAAACATAGACCTCAAGGACTGTCTGGGAAGCCTCAATACCGGGGTTGGAGTCTATGGTCACCACTGGGGTTGGGCTTGGTTATGCTGAGTTAGGTTAGGTTTGGGTTGGGTTAGGTTGAACTAAGTTTTATTAGATTAAGTTAACTCAGAAAGCTTCGTTCACATTAGCTTAAAATAAACCACAAAACGATAACTTCAAATCCAGCGACGATAATACAAATCCCCCCCCCCCCGCCCCAACAACACCAATAATTAACTCTGAAAAAAATATCACATCCGGGCTTTATATACAACTAAACAAATCCCACCTTTTATAACATAAGATAACGCTTCCGGGGGGTATTTACAAAGCTTTAAAACACGTAAATAAAAGCATTAAGCTGAAATAAAAGCATTGCGTCTATTTTCCTTTCAGTATAATTCACACGTATAGATAGGGTCAGCTTCCAATGGCTGGCTCTAGCTTGTGATGTTTTTGGCTCTTTGTGTGACCACTTGGGTGAATCTCTCTCTCTCTCTCTCTCTCTCTCTCTCTCTCTCTCTCTCTCTCTCTCTCTCTCCTCCAGGTACTCTCGACACAAGGCTCCTCCCAGCCATAATCACCCACGCAGGCGTAGTCTACAATGTGTAACTTCCTCGAATCGCCCACCTTCCTTCCCTCCCTCCCTTCCTTCCTTACTGCTTCCCTCCGTCTGTAACTCTCGATCCCAGTCTCCCAACTCTCCTTCGTGTGACATCCTCCTTCCCTCAACCTGACGCCATCCCTCCCTCCTTCCGTCTCTCCTACCTCTCTCTTTCTCTCTCTCTCAGGAAACGCTTAGTGCCGCACGAGACCATTTTAGCTTCAGTACTTACATGACCCCCCCCCCAAGCCCTTCTGTCCCTCGAGTCAATAACAGCTATACACGATCGTAATAACAACCTCCAGAGTGCTTTACCTATCCATCAGGCTCTATAATCCAAGTGTCAATAACAGGTACGCTTGCAATAACAACCTCTTAGATCTTGTACCACGCCTCCCCAACCCCTCCTCCCCCAACTCCTCCTCCCCAACTCCTCCTCCCCAACTCCTCCTCCCCCAACCCCTCTTCCCCAACCCCTCTCCCCAACCCTCCTCCCCAACCCCTCTTCCCCAACTCCTCCTCCCCCAACCCCTCCTCCCCAACCCTCCTCCCCAACTCCTCCACCAACCCCCTCCCCCCAACCCTCCTCCCAACCCTCCTCCCCAACCCCACCTCCCAACCCCTCCTCCCTCAACTCCTCCTCCCCAACTCCTCCTCCCAACCTTCCTCCTCAACCCTTCCTCCCTCAACTTCCTCCTCCCTCCCCCAACCCCTCCTCCCCAACCCTCCTCCCCAACCCCTCCTCCCCCAACCCCTCCTCCCCAACCCCTCCTCCCCTCAACCCTCCTCCCCAACCCCTCCTCCCCAACCCCTCCTCCCCAACCCCTCCTCCCCAACTCCTCCTCCCCCACCCTTCAATCTCAGAAATCAATGACTGTCACCCTTCCCCTTACCTTCGAAATGACAAGCCTTATGGTCATTCCACCCCCATTTTCCCTCCCCATAGAATCAATAACAGTACACCTACACACGCACGCACACACGCACGCACGCACGCACGCACACACACATACACACACACGCACCTCCCTCCGTCCTTCCCATACCTGCCCTTCCCACGCTCGTATAATCGATAAGGAAGCGTTCGTCATATTAAAAAAAATATATGTTTGTTTCATCATCATCATCATTGTTACCCATCTAGTCAACAACCTTCTATCAATGACCTAACTCTCTTGCAATAACGTAATAACATATATTCATGATAAGTAACCCTTCTAATCTCTCTCTCTCTCGCTCAAAAACAAGTTAGTCATTGTGTCCTTAAAATCAATAACTTCCCGTCCCTCAAATAACACACACACACACACACACACACACACACACACACGGAGACATATCATACTGATTGCCAGGACTAAATCACACATTAGAGGGTAAATTCACAGGTCTCGGACGTCTTCCTAACCCCCGTCATCAAATATTCACAGGTGTTAGGCTCCTGTCGGCCCACACTGATATACTGTACATTATCTATGAGGAGGAGTCTTGTTGGGTCTGTCTGTCTGTCTGTCACACACACACACACACACACTGAAGAACACATATCAGTTACTGTACATAAGTAAAGGCGGGAGAGGAACAGAAGTACGCCACTATAGTGGAGGGTGGGGAAGGGGGAAATTAGGAAGGAGGGAGGGAGGGAGGAGGGAGGGAGGGAGGAGGGAGGGAGGGAGGGAAGGAAGGAAAGAGGGAAAGAGGGAGGGAGGGAGGGACAGGAGGAGGGGGAGAGGTAGGGAGGGACAGGAGGGAGAGAGCTAGGGAGGGAGGGACAGAATTAAACAAGCTTCTTCCTTCCTTTCTTCCAGCGACGAAGTGAAAATTTGAATTAAATTATAAAAGTGCTAAATGGTCGATGCTTTTTTTCTTTTGTTTTTGTGTTATAAGGTGAACAACAGGTGGTAAGAGGCCAAGTATGGATGACATAATACACAGACTTTATTGAATGACGTGGAGGAATGACGATGATAATGATGATAACAATGATGATGACAATGATGAGGATGATGACGATGAACGACAATGATGAATGGCGATGACAAACGACGATAATGAACGGTAGAACAAAGAAGAAAACACACGAAAGGAATCTGAACTTATACCCAGCATATATTGTATACAGAGGCAACTGATCCCAGACTCCTGTCTAGCGGGCGTGTGGTGGAGAATTTAAGCCCTGTTGTGATGTTCTCTGCTGCTGGATATAACGGACCTTCTTCTCAATAGTTCTTAAGATGGAGATTTTATCAACTGACGTACCTACTATATAACGGATTTTCTTCTCCATATAGTCCGTTAAATAGAGGTTATTCCACTGGCCTAAAACTCCCCAAAGGTACAGTAATACTCACACTCTGATGTGGTCAAGGTCCGGGGCGTCTTCCTCCCGCAGGCGATATGTCTCCTCCGGGTACAGGACATCCTCAGGCTTCTTCCTCGACTTGTTTTTAGTGGTGGTGGAGGAGGAGGTGTTGTTGGGCACGACTAGAGGGCTGGGTTGTGGTGCGGGGTGGAGTCTGGGAGAGGCGGCGTCCAGCCCATGGTTAAGGGTGATGCTGCCACACGACCCCCAGTTGTGCATGATGATGCTTGAGTACCGCTGAGACGGCTGTAATGAATGATAATAAAAATGATAATGAATTATAATAATAATGATAAGCGAGATGGAGCTGGTAGCAGCTGTGTGACTGCCTGAGGGACAGTCTATCGCCTTCTACTGTAAAGGCAACATCTGGATTCTCGTCAGCCAATATTTTCCTGCAGGACAAAGATTTGTTCTCGTTGGTCTAACCCTAGACCCCAAAACGTGATTGTGAACTATTAAATCCTCTGAGAACTCTAAATAACTTTAATAAGTGTAATTATGTACTTATATTGATCGTATTATTCAAACTGTGACCTGATGTATCAGCAGTTGTTATATGTGAATTGTATTCAACAGGTTTTGACCGAATTATACTCATCGCGTCAACGACAAGGGTCTTATTGTCCTGCACAAACCAAAATCGCTCCTATGAGCGATTACAATAATAATAATAATAATAATAATAATAATAATAATAATAATAATAATAATAATAATAATAATAATAATAATAATAATAATAATAATAATAATAATAAACACAGACAATATATTTAGATTCAACTATAACTTTCCTCCTATTCTAGTCCAGAAATTCAGGGAGATGCCCATCCTATCACCCAGCCAGCCCAACGTATCTCCGACATACAGCCGCCCAACACCAACACAACTAAATCAACATCCCATTTCCCCTTGCCGTATAAATAAACCACTGAGGAAGTCATTCATATCTCAGAGGGGAACTCAAGCTCTTGCCATAAAGTTGCCATATGACTGATGCAACTTGAGGTAACTTGTCGTCATGGCGTGTCTTCCTCTTCCCCTGGGACTGCTAGTTTGTCGTGGTAGTGTAGTAATGTTAGTCCCTTGCCACAATTTGCCATATTGGGGCTCCATATAGATTTTGCTGTTGTAAGTTGCCATTATTCGATTTGATACACTGATATATGGTCATAATTTGCCATTTTTTGGTGTCAAATTGCCATTGATTGATGTTTTACCCTTGGATTATCAGTACAGTTGCCATATCACACTTCCAAACTTAACTCTACACACACACACACACACACACACACAAAACCAGGTGGCAGTAGATCCGGGACTTACCCTCGTTCACTAATAACAAAAGCAAACAGGTGACCCCCCACGACCAAACACAGGATGAAAAGGAACGATTCTCACTACCACATCTCTATCTACACTCACCCAACACGTTGTAACAGGTCTAAACATTTGTGGAACACATTGGAACAGGTCTGACATTTGTGGAACGGTTGTAACAGGACTAAGCATTTGTGGAACACGTTGGAACAGGTCTAAACATTTGTGAAACACGTTGGAACAGGTCTAAACAATTGTGAAACGGTTGTAACAGGACTAAACATTTGTGGAATGGCTGGAACAGGTCTAAATATTTGTTCTAACTGATGTAACGTTGCTATATACACATTTTTAGGTCTCTAATTCTCACTAAATGTTCGCATGTTTAATCTCTCATTATATATATTTTATAACGTATCCCAAAGTCTCATAGTGAAGTTACGACACCCAGTTAGCAGCCAAAACAACTAACTTGATAAGGGAATGTACAGTAGTCAATCCTTTTCAGTCCAATTGCGTGAGATGAAGAAACAATAATTTTTGAGAATCCAGTCAGAAGGGATTATTTAAACTTGTTTCTGAACACGTTGGGACATTTCTAAAGTATTTTTTTAGGTGTCGTAGTGTCCATCTAAAGGGTTCAGAGCTAGAGAAGGATCCAACAATACTGATTGATCCCTTGACACGCTGCCCAACCATATATAAATATTTACTGCACACGAATCGACGTTTTCGGACATCTGTTGCCGCTTGTCTAATCAATAGTGACTTGGTTCTGTGAGAGGTTGGACCTAGTATATAGCTTGTAGTGGAGGGTTGATGAACAAGTGGAGGATAGTGTAGGAGGTGAGGAAGAGGTGGGTAGTGGAAAAGAGGAGAGAAAAGGAGAGAAAAGAGGTAGGTGTAAGTAGGAGGAAGAGATATTAACACCCTACACAACATCGATAACACCTGCTACACCCTTAAGTGACCTCTACACTTCACCATCAACACCAACCAACCCACTACACCTCACCATCAATGCCTTCAACAGCCTCCCAGCCTCTCCCCACCACTCAGCCTCTCCCCACCACTCAACCTCTACCCACCACTCAGCCTCACCCCACCACTCAGCCTCACCCCACCACTCAGCCTCACCCCACCACTCAGCCTCTCCCCACCACTCAGCCTCTACCCGCCAGTAAGTAATCTAGCTAAGTAGAGGTACTGAAGAGAACTTGTGTAAGAGCCCTGGTGGCGACACAAAGACCGTCCACAACTCCCATACATCACGGCAGGGGTCTGGGAAAAGTTAGTATGGGATGGAAGCTGTAGAAGAGAGGGACGAACTACAAGCTGTCTCGGTGTGTTATGGGGTGGGCATGTTTACTGGATCATCTGAATATTAGGAAGCCCAGTTTATTTCATCCAAACGCTAACCTAACCTAACCTGTATAATAGTTGTTGCTAGTACGTGTATAATATTTTTTGTTACTAGTACTTGTATAATAGTTGTTCCTAGTACGTGTATAATACTTATTCGTTTAATTTCTTCCCCCTCCCCGCCCCCCAAAATATAATAACAAAACAGACGCTCACAATGGAATACGAAAGAGTCAAATAAAATCTATGTTTCCGAGTACAAGTTTACTTCCAAATAAAACAAGTTACTTTTTTCTCAAATTGAAATAACAAACTTAAATGCAAAACAACAACTTAAACATTTTACCAGGAGAGTTAATAATGGATTATGTACACGAATTGTCCTTAGCACGAAGTTTATTTAAATTTTTAGAAACCAGAGCAGGTTACTCGTTCAGGGAAGGTATTGTGTTAAAGAATAAACCAGTTGACGTAATTGACCTTTGACCTGTGCTTGTGACCTTGATTATTACTTACATACATATAACACACTGTATACTAAGCCTTCTGTACACAAGGAGGCAATATGGCCGGCCGACACTGCACTTAACTGCCTTCAATTTCTAACTTGTAACATTCAGTATTCATTTACAACTGGGTGTCCTGGGATCGAACTCACCAACCTTAGGACAAGATACCAGCACTGTCCCCACTCGCCCACAGCTGAAGATCCCGTTAAAAAATAAATCAGAAACCAGACCGCGGGGGTAAAGTGACCAACCCCCATCACAAAAACTAATGTACTAAAGGTGAGGCAGGTAGGAGGAGGTAAATGGAATTCCTGTAGAAGGTTAATCTAAAATTTAACCTAACCTGACCCTAGTTCTGGAGGTTACTTGACACGAGGTCACCTTGTCTCGGAGGTTCTCACAAGTCTTAGATAAAAATTTCAATGCTATTATATTAAAGTTTATTTTAGTACTATACCATTATGTTTAAAGATCTTATTTGTACTTAACATTATTATCTTTTGTACACCTACTTAATATTCAAGGAGGAACGCAAGACCTCTTAACCTTCTGTGTGTGTGTAAATTCTCACCCTGGCAGTAAGAGTCATCATGGTACAGTAACCGACCCGTGTGATCAAGCAGCCTCAAGTGTCACTTGAGCTTCCATGCTTCTATTCACCTATCAACCTCGGACCTTATGTCCTCCTCAGGTGACGAGATCGAGTTTGGAGATATAGTTCTGATGCACAGGTAAGGTGAACCACACACACAGGTACATTTAAGATACAAACACACCCTCAACACCCTCATCATCAACACCTATCAGCCTCTACACCTCACCAAAAACACCTACCACCATCTACCTACCACCACCAACACCTACCACCATTTACACGTATATCTAGGCTCTGTGAACCAAGCATTGTTATCAGAATCTAGTTAACCAGGAACTTGCGGCGTATGTGTTACCACGAGCCATATATTATTCTTTGATAAAATTATTATCTAAACTGACAAGAAAAGACCATATTTCTTTATAAAATGAATAATGACCAGGAAATAAACCAAAAAAAATTAGTTATCATCCCCAGTGTGTAGAAAATATAACTATATTTGGTAAGCGTTTGGTCACGACTCTCCCCTGAACCAACTCTCAAGGCCACTAAAAACAACTCTGGTGCCCGGACACAAAACTTGCTTCTCTGGTCAAATTCTTATCACCCGGTCAGCCCTCAGTCTTGTGGTGGTTTAAGAGGTAATACTTCACTTTGGGTAATACAGGTATACTGCTCAGGTAACATCGTGACTAATTTAGAGGTTATGTGAACAGTTTAGACATAAGAACAAGAGGCCAAAGTCGATGTAAGGGTGACAACCTGACATCAAATTATCACGCGATACACAAAATGCAGATTACACGAAGATTAACCCACTAGTTTATTTCACCTTATGATTAACCTAACCTAATCCCCCAGGTAGCGTGAGAGTGTTTAATAATCTAGCGTTCACATGAAGATTAATCCATCAGTTTATTTCACCTTATCATTAATCACCTTAACGTTAACCTAACTTAACCCCAGCAAATTCTACTCCTGATCGGCTTTGGAATTCCTCTCCTTACTTGTGTGGACAGACTCCGAGTTTTAATAGGCGCTCATCTGTAGTCAAAGTTGTAATTGTTTCGGGGGAGTTGTGTGGAGCGGAGGGGGTGGAAGGGAAGGAGGAGGAGAAAGGAAGGGAAATGGATAAGAAGAAGGGAGGGATGGGGGGAGGGGAGGAAGGGAGAGGGGAAGGAAGGGGAGAAGAGTAAAGGAATAATCCATCACATCATAACACCACCGGCCACTACTTGGTATAACTCTCACCATCAGAAGCACTGTAGCCACGTCTCTTATGGTGACTAGCTTGTTATTAGACTGTCCAGCAGGTGTCATGCAGAGGTGGTGGTGGTGTGTGTAGTAGTAGTAGTAGTAGTAGTAGTAGTAGTAGTAGTAGTAGTAGTAGTAGGATTTTTAATATTAAGGTAATAAAATGGCGGCGAAGGTGTGGCTATTGGGGGAGGCTGGAGGCC